GGTTTTCTGTTTATCATAAAAACAAATAAATGAAATTAAATTTAATGTGTAACTCACTGATCAGAAACCAAGATACATTTTCTAGCACAGAAAACTGACATTTTCCCCCAGTGTAACATTAATGGAATTGGATTTAGTAAGAACCTTTTGATTCTGCTATACAGTATTCCATTTAATAATAATGTAACTTGAATTTCAGCTGGATAAGGAGACAGGAATACCGACAGAGGCAGAAGGAATGAGGCAGAAGGATAGAGGCAGGGTGGAATCACCTCATTTCAACAATCTTTCTAATTGTTTGGCAGTAAGTTGCAGCAATAAGAAGCCAGGAGTTTTGAAGACTGGGAGGACTAATTCATGATATTGTCAGGCTGTTCTTAGCACTTCAGCTCAGGAAAGGAAATGGACTTTAGACTAACCTTAAAGAGTCAAGATTTAGAAAACTCAGCAATTCCTTAGTATTTGCTGCTGGAAAGCCTGTGATCCTCAGGGATCACAGGGAGTTTAACTATTTGTCAGATTAGCAAAGCAACTTTTCCCTCTCCTCTAAGAATAGCAAAAAGTGTGTTTCTGGAAGAAGGAAATTGGAACACTGACCCTATGTGTTGGAATCAGCAGAAATCTCTATATTTATAGGAGTATGCATATCATTGTCAAAGGAAACTGTTACACAACAGCATTTTCAAACAGAACACAGTACTGAAATTTGAGATCACTACATACACATTTCATTAAGAGCTTTTTATTTTCTACATCAGTTCTGTATTCTGTAGACAAATGATTTCATAGGAAGTACCTGTCCTTCATATTTCTCATTGCAATGACATGAGATAACTTTTAAGAATAAATATAACATGTGAAACTAGTAGAAAAGCTACCTTTAAAACCTCAATTTTCGTGTGGGAAGAAGATTTATTTATTGTAACTCATAGGTATCCCTAATTGGTTACATTCTCAAATGGAACGATTACAAAAAAGATTACCTTCTTTTGTGAAATAAAACATTTTATTGCTTAAGAGATCATAGACATTATCTGAGGATACCTGAAGTTATAATAAATCATAAAGCAATTTAAAAAATAGATTGCAATATTAATCATTTATCATACATTTGCATCATGTACTACAAGAAGAAAGCCACTTCCAAGCATGCTTCTTGGTTTCAAAATATTCACTCATAAAAGATTTAAATATGTCTTGTTGAAAGAAAGGAAAGATTTATGTGAGCAGAAACTTGCCAAATGTGTTCATAGGAAGAACCTCAGTACCGACAGCTAATTTAGTTATCTGATTATAACTATGACATAGATGTTGAGAACTAGAATGTATGTTCTTAATCCTATCAATTTATTGTTACTTTGCCTATGAGTCAAGGGAGCAGAACTGGAGAATACTCCCTCTTCCCAAAAGCACACTGTAAGAAGGCATATTTTATTACTGACAAGATACTGTAAAAGTCTAAAATATTCAAAACGGAGAGATAAAGACTGAGCAATAACATATGTTTGCCTTTTTAGAACTAACATATCTTTCATATGAAAAAGAAGATGCATCTGGCAATATAAATCTGGAATAATTTAAGAATAACTGTTTTGCTACTTTTGCGCACACCAGGAAGGTTCTTGTCCAGAGTTTTTCCTCTTTGAATATTTACTTATTCGATTTATATACTGCCCATCTAGAACGGGTCAACTCTAGGCGGTTTATATATAATATAAAAAATAAACTAAGATAAAATCCAGATTAATCCAAGATTGGAAGGGAAAAAGAAGAGGGGGAAAAAGAAGAGGAGGAAGGAGAGAAAAGAAAAAGAAGAAAAGGGGAGATAGGCTAGATAATGGCTGTAGGGAAGGCCTGCCTGTATAGCCATGTCTTCAAGTTAGTCTTGAAGGCCCTCTGCAAGGGAGCCAGGTGGATCTCTGCAGGTAAGTTGTTCTAAAGCTGAGGGGCCACTGCCGAGAAGGCCAGATTTCTGCTTTTTTCCCCACTGGGCCTCTCTTGGCGTTAGGCCCCTCAGGCGCCCAGCCTGACTGGAGTGGGTCATATGGGTAGAACTGGGTGGAAGAAGGTGCTCTGCCAAGCATCAAGGTCCTAAACCATTAAGGGATTTATATATAATGGTTAACACCTTGAAATCAATGTGGAAGCGGATAGGTAGCCAATGTAAGGCGGCCAGAGTGGGGGAAATATGGTGAAATCTTTTCACCCCCGTTAATAGCCTGGCCGCCTTGTTCTGCACCATCGGAAGCTTCCACATCAGTCTCAAAGGAAGTCCCACGTAAAGAGCGTTACAGTAGTCTATCCTTGACTATGAGTTCATGGACCAGCATGAGGAGCGATCTGCCTAAGATGTAAGAACCATGAATGCTATGGAAAGCGCCGGGTCAAAATGGACCCTCAGACTGCGAACTGAATTCTTTGTGGTGAGAGTCACCCTCCAAAAAGAGAGAGAATTCTCCAAACCACTGACATCAGGGCCCCCCCACCCATGGGACTTCCATCTTATCTGGGTTCAGCCTTAGTCCATTTGACTGCATCCATTGCAGAATGGCCTCCAGGCAGCACCCAAGGGACAGAATGGCATCCACTGCAGATGGAAAAAAGGAGATGTAGAGCTGGGTGTCATCAGCGTATTGGTGACACAAAACTCCACATCCCTGGATGCCCCCCCCACAACTGAGGGACCACAGGGACAATACATTCTCCCCAAGGTGCACTCTCTGAGGACGACTCTCCAAGGACTGGAGCCAAGCAAGAGCAAGGCCACCAATCCCCAACTCAAGAGAGCCTCTCCAGGAAGATACTGTGGTCGACAATATCAAAGGCAGCTGAGATATCAAGGAGGACAAGCAAGGATATTTTGCCTCTGTCGGGTTCCCTAAGTAGGTCATCCAGCAGGGTGACCAATGCTGTTTCCGTGCTGTGGCATGGCCTGAAGCCCAACTCAAATGGATCCAGGGCATTGGTTTCATCCAAGAAAGCCTGAAGCTAGTCGGCCACCACCCTCTCAACTACCTTGCTGAGAAAAGAAGCATTGGCGACAGGCCTATAATTGCCAATGTTGTCTGCCGCAAAGCTTGGTTTCTTTCTAATGGGTCTAATGAGCATTTAAGAAGAGACCCATTTATTATTTCAGTGGCCCATTCAGTTATCACTGGCCTGGCAGCTTTGATTAGCCAGCCCGGGCAAGAGTCAAGGGAGGAGGTGGTGGCTTGGCAGCGATCAAGGACCTTATCCACCTCTGTGGACGTCACAGGTTGAAACTGAGTAGTTCTCAACAGACAAGGCGCTGCACTGGATGTCTCAGCTTGATCTATTGTTTTCAAATAGGGTGTGAGATCCTAGCGGATAGCGTCCACTTTTGATTTTAAAAATGCTGCAGATTGGTCACAAGAAATGCTAGATGGAAGCCAAATGTTGTGGCTAATTGTGAAGGTTGTGTACTATACAAAAAAGTTCTGCCTGCTGATTGGATGCTTTGTGGAGGCCAAATGTTGTGGCCAATTCCGAATAGGTCGTGTACTATACAAAAAACTTCTGCCTGCTGATTGGATGCTTTGCTTGTCCGGACAGTGAAGCAGGCTTTCCTAGCAGCCTCTACCTTAGCAAGATAAGGGTTAGACCCGACCTTGGCAGTTATTTTCTGTTAGGTTCTGCCTCCAAACACTCTCTAGCCTTCTCCTATTCTGCTTCATAGTGCTCAGCTGCTGGTTAAACCAAGGTGCTGGTCCGGCTCTGCAGCATAGAGGATGTTTAGGAGCAATCGTATCTATAGCCCTAGTGACAGTGGCATACCAGCCATCGATCAGGGCCTTGATAGGAGCACCAGCCAGGTTAATCGGAATCTCATGCATGGCATCCTGGAATCAAATAGGATCCAGGAGAGAACGTTTAGGAGCAGTCGTATCTATAGCCCTAGTGCCAGAGGCATACCAGCCATCAACCAGGACCTTGATAGGAGCATCAGCCAGGTTAATCGGAATCTCACGCATGACATCCTGGAATCAAATAGGATCCAGGAGTCTGTGAGGGCGGACCATGAAAATAGGTCTCTGCTCCCCACGGGGAGGAAGGGCCATTGTGAGTTTGCACTTTATCAGGGGAAGAAGTACAAAATCGAAATAAAGAATCTTGCTTGCGAACACTTTAAGTTGTATGTTGTATAAGTGAAAACAACCATTTATTTTGAAAATATTAGCTAAGTTTACAGGATGTACACCGACTTAACACTAGCCAGTGAACCTGAACTCTGGACAGCAAGAATGGTTATTTTAAGTTCCTTTTAAAAAAGTTTTTTGCAGGATAGGCACTAAATGGGCAACGAGGAGGGGGAAGAAGGGGGAGATGAAGTGGATGAAATGGGGAGCACACTTTTATTTGATTCTTTTTGTTCCAACTCTGTATTCACAGCCTTTCTTCCTCAGATTCTTTGAGAGACAAACTTCCCCTCTTCCAGATCTAGGTTAAAAGCTAGTAGAACTGGCTATTCTGTTGAAATATAAAAGACAAACTCAAGAGTACAAAATGGATTAGGGAAGCTTTCCTTTTTCATAAATCAACAGTTCACGCACCCCTTTACTCTTCCATTAAATGGAAGAATCTTTCAAATAGGGAGGAAGCTTAAGCGTGTCTTAAAACGTCCACACTCGAGACGCTCCTCGCACGGCTGTGTTAGGACACAATACAGGAAAGGATACACAGATGCATGCATTTCCTGAAGACCGAGGATATGCAAGACACAGGAAACAATTACCAGTTGTTCTACCTGTGTATGGTTCCTTAAGACACCTATCCCCGCTTTAAAAAAAAATCATATGCCTGCTTGCTAACAAAAAGTCCTCTCCCAGCCCGCATGTTGTTTCCGGTCTCAAACATGTAGAACAAGGATTTCGAGGAGCAAAGCACAACCCCGCCTCCCTTTCCCAAGCCGGCCTCCGGCGCTAGTTTCCGCCGGACGGTGTTACCGCCAAACGTGTCCGCCACAGCTAAGGGGGTCCGTTTAGGTGGAAACACCAGCCCGTGGTGGAACCCGGAACCGCCTTAGCAGCTGTTGGAAGTTTCCACCCCTCCTGGCCCTCGGTGAGGAAGGGCTTTTTGGCCGTTGGGGAGGAGGCGCCGAGGGACGGCGGAGAGCGGGCGCCGGGGGTAGCGGGGGCCAGAGCCGGAACAGCCGCTGCCATGGAGGGTGGAGAAGCCCAGTGAGGAAGGGGACGCCGGAGTAGGTGCGTGTAGTAGCCCCTCAAGGGAGAAGAGGGGCTGGGGAAGATTGGACCCGTTCGCGACACACGGAAAAGGGATGGAGGTGCTCGGGGGTGGGAGCGAGTGGGGGCGGAGTAAAAACTGACGCCGGTTCCGTGACAGGGTTTTGGAAACACGTTGTGGGAACTGCCGGCGGGAGGAATTGGGGTAAAAAAAATATATGGGGCCAAAGTGGTCCGGGTAGAAGCGAAGTTGCTCGCTTCTTGTGGACGGTTGTGGCCGTGCCCTCTTCTCGGTGGGATCTCTTTCTGACTTCGCAGCTCACGGGGCAACTCGTGCTGAAAAGTTACCTGACTGCCCCCCCCCCCAGGCTTCCTCTTGCCGGACGGTGTGTTTCTAAGCATAGGTGGCTGACTTCAATAAAGACGCTGGTATAAGGGTATGGGTGGTGTTTCAAAGCTCTCTATAGACTTGCTCATCTGTTTCACGTGCTGGCTTTCAGGACTGAGACTTGAGGGAACTTACGATGTAATTTTTTTTCAAAAAAAGTATTGCTACACATTAAATATAAACATAATTAAATCCTTGATAATGTTAAAACAAAATTAAAGTCAGAACTCTTAAAATATCTGTTAAGATGTAAGTCATAAGTACACGGCACTAAAAAGACAACAACACAAGAAGCTCAACCCACCTTTTCTGAGTCCACTTGCCAAAAACTTACCAGAATAACAAGGTCTTGCCTGGAAGGGACTGCAAGAAAGGGCTTATCTTAGCCTTCTTTGGCCTGAAGTTCTGAAACTCGGAGTTGCTTCAGAGAAGGCTGTCTCTGGTGTTGCTGCCTTGGAGGATGATGGGACTGAGAGAATAGCATCTCCTGCTGTTCTAAAAGCCAGCAAGGCTTGTAAAGAGAATGGTTGCAGTACACATCACCCTTCATAGCAAAAATCTAAAAGTCTTTTTAGTCCTTTACTTTCATTGCCTCTTAGTACATTATTCAACTGACTAGATTGATTTTTATTTGTTGACAACTACCTAAATCTTACAATGTCTGGTTTATAAGTGGGCATCAGTACTGATGCATGTTCAGGTTATAATGTGTAATAATGGAATCACTATTAATCTGTGCTATAAATCTAAGTGATATTAAAGTGGAAAAAACTTTAAGTTGATGTCGAGTCCATTTCTCTGCAGATATATTTGTGTACAGCTACTAGCCCTAAGGTAAAGGTTCCCCTTGACATTTAGTCCAGTCGTGTCCAACTCTAGGGTGCAGTGCTCATCCCCGTTTCCAAGCCATAGAGCCAGCGTTTGTCCATAGACAGTTTCCGTGGTCATGTGGCCAGTGTGACTAGACACGGAACGCTGTTACCTTCCCACTGAGGTAGTACTTATTTATCTACTTGCATTTTTATATGCTTTCAAACTGCATACCAACTGCAAGGTTGGCAGGAGCTGGAACAAGCGACAGGAGCTCACTCCGTAATGTGGATTTGATCTTATGACTGCTGATCTTCTGACCTTGCAGCACAGAGGCTTCTGTGATTTAAACTGCAGTGACACCACGTCCCTGCTAGACCTAAACCCAGTTCCTAATCCCAATGAGTATTGGCGATTTACAAGTGTCAGTTTACAATGCAAGGGTTCATTTAGTGGGTCGACTTTCTTTGGTATGAGGAATTGATTGTAGGCTGCTGAGTTTCATTATGCTTAGTCCATTATAGCTTGATTCTGTCCATGCTCACTAGGAAAAATGTACATTTGGTTAAGATTGCAATGCCATAGTTGCTTGCCAAGGCGTAGGTGACAGTGAGCTCAGTGATACTCCTTAGGAGACATATAAATGACTGCACAACTGGGCTTTAAAGTAGACATATATTTCCGGCTCCTGTGATAAATCCAAGATTTAGATAGGCAGTTGGGCTAAGTGTGTTCTAAAACATGTATTTTCTGTACTAATTAAATATGCCATTTTTTAAAGGTTCTGTCAGCAAAGGCACAATGCTCGAGTCATATGTGACTCCTATTCTAATGAGCTATGTGAATCGCTATATTAAGAACTTGAAGCCTTCTGATCTACAGCTATCACTCTGGGGCGGAGATGTGGTTCTCAGCAAACTTGAACTAAAGCTTGATGTACTTGAACAGGTATGTTATCATTCCATCTATTTTATGCCTTAACCAGATAGTTAAATTCATGTAAAATTCCTAGAGTGAGTTGTTCTGAATTCTTATTACTATCAGGCGAATGACATACATGATTATTATAACTAAGACTAGCATGCCAGTAATAAAATAATATGAGTTTATGATGTGAATGGTGCTTTATTTGTCTACCATGTATTATATACTGATTCATTAAAATGGCTTCTGTCTCTCTGTTATGTTTTTGCATTTTGGCCTGGAGCTTTAGCTTAGAAACTTCCATAGTTCTGTCTCAGGCCAGAAAGTATATTGAATTCTGCACTGGTGAAATTTTTCCATAGGTGTCAAACAAGTTTTATTTATGCCTTGTTTATATGGAAGAAACATTAGATCTTGGCAGAAAATAATTCCATGCATATTTATCCTAATTGCTGAGTTCAGGTGAGAGCTTCATGAGGAATTCTTCTACATATAACATGTTCCTTCCTGAACACTTGTGATACTGCCATGGATCTAAATGAAACACAGATCTGTATTCTTACTTTGGTCTGAGATAGTTAACTATCTTTGTTATAGGAGAATGTTATCGATCTTTTGTTGTTGTTTATTATATTGGTTGCACTGCAACAAATTGTGCAGAATGCCACACTTCATTTTCTTCTTGATAATTTTTAAGTGAAACACAGAGGTACAGGTATGATACCTGTACAAATGTGCATGTATGTGTTGCTGGATATCTGCCAGGGTTACTTTCTCTAATTCCACAAGAAGATACTTGAGTTACAGGGAGGAAAAGGATGTTCTAGCATTCCTATACAATTTAATTTAATTTAATTTGCTAAATTGGTTTGTTTTAATAACAAATATGTGCTGAAAGTCACCATATCTTCTTGTGGCCTTGGGAAAAATAACTTTGGTTGAGGTTCAGTAAAGTATACGTATGTGGAGGAATTAAACTTGTACCTGTGGATTGTTTTGGTGTATGAGTATCATGCCTTAAATGACTAGTTGCTCGGTTTACACTGTTACTTCAGGTGTTAAAAGGAAACAGTTGCATGAATACGAAGAAATCGAAGGATGATAGCATCTTTGCTTTTCCTCCTGTAGCCTTCTTTGTACATGCTTTCTTGTTCTCTGCTGTCTTCTGCATTTGGATGGAGGAGTTTGGAAGTTTATACGTCATACAGTTTTGTGTAGCTTATAGTGATGAACAGTAGTTAATTCTCACTATGGTCAGTCTTTAACATACAAAGTTCGAATTATAGATTGTGAAACTAGAAGCTTCTGAAACGACTGACTATATTAGAAGGAATGAGGAGAGCAAATGTGTGTGAGTCCGAGGCTTGCTGCAACTTGTATGCATTGTATATATTACACCAAACTATCATTTAGCATACTTTGCAGCTGTGGCCAGCCATCAACATCCTACTTTATATCTCCTTCATTTGGGTGATAAGTGGGCAAACGGCTGGAGCTGTTGATATTTAATATTAAGTATTAAAAATCAACTTTAAAAAATACTTTTTATTAAAAATCAACTTTTTAAAATACTATTAAAAATCAACTAATTTTTACTAAGTATTAGAAATTAATATGTCTAAGTGTCAGTTATATGCCATAGTAAAACACTGAAGTATTTCTAGGCATGATACAATAGTGGTGTGACTTGTATAGTGAAACATGGACTCCACTCCATTGTCTTTCTCTATTGATTCTGGTCTCCTCTTTTCTTTCAGTGTTTTTCCATCCTCGTTTCCTTTCTGTTACTGAGTTAGGTGACAGTCTTATGCACACTTAACATTGGAAAAAACCCTATTGAAAATTACTGAAGTCACTTCAGACATCAAGGAAATAGCTTTTGTAGTTGTCATTTACAATATACAGACTTGCTTTGGAATACTTTTCCTGTATATGTATCTATGTACTATTAGTCTATGTACCGTGTTCCACCAAAGTAAGACAGGGTGTTATATTAATGGTCTTATATATTAGCCGCCTAGAGTGGATGAGTAGTCCAGATAGGCGGGGTATAAATTAAATAAA